TGTGCTGCTTGCTGGTCACTATAGCCGGCTTGTGCTGCTTGCTGGTCACTATAGCCGGCTTGTGGTGCTTGCTGGTCACTATAGCCGGCTTGTGCTGCTTGCTGGTCACTATAGCCGGCTTGTGCTGCTTGCTGGTCACTATAGCCGGCTTGTGCTGCTTGCTGGTCACTATAGCCGGTTACTATAGCTGGCTTGGCTTGTGGTGGTGCTTGGTGGTCACTATAGCCGGTCTGTGGTGCTGGTGGTCACTATAGCCGGTCTGTGGCGGTGCTGGTCACTATAGCCGGCTTGTGGTGGTGCTGGTCACTATAGCCGGTCTGTGGTAGTGGTGGTCACTATAGCCGGTCTGTGGTGGTGGTGGTCACTATAGCCGGCCTGTGGTGGTGGTGGTCACTATAGCCGGCCTGTGGTGGTGGTGGTCACTATAGCCGGCTTGTGGTGGTGGTGGTCACTATAGCCGGCTTGTGGTGGTGGTGGTCACTATAGCCGGTCTGTGGTGGTGGTGGTCACTATAGCCGGTCTGTGGTGGTGGTCACTATAGCCGGTCTGTGGTGGTGGTCACTATAGCCGGTCTGTGGTGCTGGTCACTATAGCCGGTCTGTGGTGGTGGTCACTATAGCCAGTCTGTGGTGGTGGTCACTATAGCCGGTCTGTGGTGGAGGTGGTCACTATAGCCGGTCTGTGGTGGAGGTGGTCACTATAGCCGGTCTGTGGTGGAGGTGGTCACTATAGCCGGTCTGTGGTGGTGGTGGTCACTATAGCCGGTCTGTGGTGGTGGTGGTCACTATAGCCGGCTTGTGGTGGTGCTGGTCACTATAGCCGGCTTGTGCTGCTTGCTAGTCACTATAGCCGGCTTGGCTTGTGGTGGTGGTGGTCACTATAGCCGGTCTGTGGTGGTGGTGGTCACTATAGCCGGTCTGGTGGTGCTGGTCACTATAGCCGGTCTGTGGTGGTGCTGGTCACTATAGCCGGTCTGTGGTGGTGCTGGTCACTATAGCCGGTCTGTGGTGGTGCTGGTCACTATAGCCGGTCTGGTGGTGGTGGTCACTATAGCCGGTCTGTGGTGGTGATGGTGGTCACTATAGCCGGTCTGTGGTGGTGGTCACTATAGCCGGTCTGTGGTGGTGGTGGTCACTATAGCCGGTCTGTGGTGGTGGTGGTCACTATAGCCGGTCTGTGGTGGTGGTGGTCACTATAGCCGGTCTGTGGTGGTGGTGGTCACTATAGCCGGTCTGTGGTGGTGGTGGTCACTATAGCCGGTCTGTGGTGGTGGTGGTCACTATAGCCGGTCTGTGGTGGTGCTGGTCACTATAGCCGGTCTGTGGTGGTGCTGGTCACTATAGCCGGCTTGTGGTGGTGCTGGTCACTATAGCCGGTCTGTGGTGGTGGTGGTCACTATAGCCGGCCTGTGGTGGTGGTGGTCACTATAGCCGGTCTGTGGTGGTGGTGGTCACTATAGCCGGTCTGTGGTGCTGGTCACTATAGCCGGTCTGTGGTGGTGGTGGTCACTATAGCCGGCTTGTGGTGGTGCTGGTCACTATAGCCGGTCTGTGGTGGTGGTCACTATAGCCGGCTTGTGGTGGTGCTGGTCACTATAGCCGGTCTGTGGTGGTGGTCACTATAGCCAGTCTGTGGTGGTGGTCACTATAGCCGGTCTGTGGTGGAGGTGGTCACTATAGCCGGTCTGTGGTGGTGGTGGTCACTATAGCCGGTCTGTGGTGGTCACTATAGCCGGCTTGTGGTGGTGCTGGTCACTATAGCCGGCTTGTGCTGCTTGCTAGTCACTATAGCCGGTTACTATAGCTGGCTTGGCTTGTGGTGGTGCTGGTCACTATAGCCGGTCTGTGGTGGTGGTGGTCACTATAGCCGGTCTGGTGGTGCTGGTCACTATAGCCGGTCTGTGTTAGTGCTGGTCACTATAGCCGGTCTGTGGTGGTGCTGGTCACTTTAGCCGGTCTGGTGGTGGTGGTCACTATAGCCGGTCTGTGGTGGTGGTGGTGGTCACTATAGCCGGTCTGTGGTGGTGGTGGTCACTATAGCCGGTCTGTGGTGGTGGTGGTCACTATAGCCGGTCTGTGGTGGTGGTGGTCACTATAGCCGGTCTGTGGTGGTGGTGGTCACTATAGCTGGCTTGTGGTGGTGCTGGTCACTATAGCCAGCCTGTGGTGGTGGTGGTCACTATAGCCGGTCTGTGGTGGTGGTGGTCACTATAGCTGGTCTGTGGTGGTGGTGGTCACTATTGCCGGCCTGTGGTGGTGGTGGTCACTATAGCCGGCTTGTGGTGGTGCTGGTCACTATAGCCGGTCTGTGGTGGTCACTATAGCCGGCCTGTGCTGCTTGCTGGTCACTATAGCCGGCTTGTGGTGGTGGTGGTCACTATAGCCGGTCTGTGGTGGTGCTGGTCACTATAGCCGGTCTGTGGTGGTGGTGGTCACTATAGCCGGCTTGTGGTGGTGGTGGTGGTCACTATAGCCGGCTTGTGGTGGTGGTGGTGGTCACTATAGCCGGTCTGTGGTGGTGCTGGTCACTATAGCCGGCCTGTGGTGGTGGTCACTATAGCCGGCTTGTGGTGGTGCTGGTCACTATAGCCGGCCTGTGGTGGTGCTGGTCACTATAGCCGGCCTGTGGTGGTGCTGGTCACTATAGCCGGCCTGTGGTGCTGGTCACTATAGCCGGCCTGTGGTGGTGCTGGTCACTATAGCCGGCCTGTGGTGGTGCTGGTCACTATAGCCGGCCTGTGGTGGTGCTGGTCACTATAGCCGGTCTGTGGTGGTGCTGGTCACTATAGCCGGCCTGTGGTGGTGCTGGTCACTATAGCCGGTCTGTGGTGGTGCTGGTCACTATAGCCGGCTTGTGGTGCTGGTCACTATAGCCGGCCTGTGGTGGTGCTGGTCACTATAGCCGGTCTGTGGTGGTGCTGGTCACTATAGCCGGTCTGTGGTGGTGCTGGTCACTATAGCCGGTCTGTGGTGGTGCTGGTCACTATAGCCGGCCTGTGGTGGTGCTTGTTGGTCACTATAGCCAGTCTGTGGTGGTGCTGGTCACTATAGCCGGCCCGGCTCGTGGTGGTGCTTGCTGGTCACTACAGCCGGCCCGGCCCGTGGTGGTGCTTGCTGGTCACTACAGCCGGCCCGGCCCGTGGTGCTGCTTGCTGGTCACTATAGCCGGCCCGGCCCGTGGTGCTGCTTGCTGGTCACTACAGCCGGCCCGGCCCGTGGGGCTGCTTGCTGGTCACTACAGCCGGCCCGGCCCGTGGTGCTGCTTGCTGGTCACTACAGCCGGCCCGGCCCGTGGTGCTGCTTGCTGGTCACTATAGCCGGCCCGGCCCGTGGTGGTGCTTGCTGGTCACTATAGCCGGCCCGGCCCGTGGTGCTGCTTGCTGGTCACTATAGCCGGCCCGGCCCGTGGTGCTGCTTGCTGGTCACTATAGCCGGCCCGGCCCGTGGTGCTGCTTGCTGGTCACTATAGCCGGCCCGGCCCGTGGTGCTGCTTGCTGGTCACTATAGCCGGCCCGGCCCGTGGTGGTGCTTGCTGGTCACTATAGCTGGAACGGCCCGTGGTGCTGCTTGCTGGTCACTATAGCCGGCCCGGCCCGTGGTGCTGCTTGCTGGTCACTATAGCCGGCCTGGCCCGTGGTGCTGCTTTCTGGTCACTACAGCCGGCCCGGCCCGTGGTGCTGCTTGCTGGTCACTACAGCCGGCCTGGCCCGTGGTGGTGCTTGCTGGTCACTATAGCCGGCCCGGCCCGTGGTGGTGCTTGCTGGTCACTACATCTGGCCCGGCCTGTGGTGCTGCTTGCTGGTCACTATAGCCGGCCCGGCCCGTGGTGCTGCTTGCTGGTCACTACATCTGGCCCGGCCCGTGGTGCTGCTTGCTGGTCACTACATCTGGCCCGGCCCGTGGTGCTGCTTGCTGGTCACTACATCTGGCCCGGCCTGTGGTGCTGCTTGCTGGTCACTACATCTGGCCCGGCCTGTGGTGCTGCTTGCTGGTCACTACATCTGGCTCGGCCTGTGGTGGTGCTTGCTGGTCACTACATCTGGCCCGGCCTGTGGTGCTGCTTGCTGGTCACTACATCTGGCCCGGCCTGTGGTGGCGCTTGCTGGTCACTACATCTGGCCCAGCCTGTGGTGGCGCTTGCTGGTCACTACATCTGGCCCGGCCTGTGGTGGTGCTTGCTGGTCACTACATCTGGCCCGGCCTGTGGTGGTGCTTGCTGGTCACTACATCTGGCCCGGCCTGTGGTGCTGCTTGCTGGTCACTACATCTGGCCCGGCCTGTGGTGGTGCTTGCTGGTCACTACATCTGGCCCGGCCTGTGGTGCTGCTTGCTGGTCACTACATCTGGCCCAGCCTGTGGGGCTGCTTGCTGGTCACTACATCTGGCCCGGCCTGTGGTGCTGCTTGCTGGTCACTACATCTGGCCCGGCCTGTGGTGGTGCTTGCTGGTCACTACATCTGGCCCGGCCTGTGGTGCTGCTTGCTGGTCACTACATCTGGCCCAGCCTGTGGTGGTGCTTGCTGGTCACTACATCTGGCCCGGCCTGTGGTGCTGCTTGCTGGTCACTACATCTGGCCCAGCCTGTGGTGGCGCTTGCTGGTCACTACATCTGGCCCGGCCTGTGGTGCTGCTTGCTGGTCACTACATCTGGCCCGGCCTGTGGTGCTGCTTGCTGGTCACTACATCTGGCCCAGCCTGTGGGGCTGCTTGCTGGTCACTACATCTGGCCCAGCCTGTGGGGCTGCTTGCTGGTCACTACATCTGGCCCAGCCTGTGGGGCTGCTTGCTGGTCACTACATCTGGCCCAGCCTGTGGGGCTGCTTGCTGGTCACTACATCTGGCCCAGCCTGTGGGGCTGCTTGCTGGTCACTACATCTGGCCCAGCCTGTGGGGCTGCTTGCTGGTCACTACAGTTGATGTAACCTGACCCTAGTAACCAGTAGGACTGACTGCGTATTACCTTAACATTCAGTTGTTAATGTTTTTCGTGTTCTCTTTCAGACGACTCGTGCTGCTCCCTCCACTCCTCCTCCAGCCATGTCTGCGATGGACTACACCTACAATCGGTAAGTGAGCAGTATTAAAGTAGACAAGTTTACTATCAATTTTCTTACGAACAGATTACGAAATGTCGGCAAATAAAAACTTCAATCCTGACCATTTAAGCCAAGTACCGTACTGAGTTGTGTACATTCTAATGCCAGCATTTGACATATTTACCCAAATCCAACAACTGTTTTGATAATGCCCTGCTAAATCCAACATTCTTTTTACTCCTTTTTAGTACTTTTTAAACATCTGCTGGAAAAGATTATAAAGGCAAATAGGGGGAGGGGAGGACCTTCCACAAGCTACCGGCTTCCTGTCCTCAAGGCCACTAGTTATGGCTCTCGGGTAAATCGAATACGAGAACAGTTATAAGCTCAGTTTCGTTTCATAAGGTAAACAGAATTTACCTTGCACCTGTGCTGTTCTTCATCCTGCCTGAAGACTTGCATAAATATGTGCCACAGATTCATGTCATCCTTCGCTGTTTACACTAAAATAAGTATGACAATTTACCCAGGAAATGATGCTTACAAAATTCAATGACAAAGTCTTTCAGTTGTCAATTGAAAATGTGATATTATCTTGAGATGATTTCGGGGCTTTAGTGTCCCCGCGGCCCGGTCCTCGACCAGGCCTCCACCCCCAGGAAGCCCGTGACAGCTGACTAACACCCAGGTACCTATTTTGCTGCTAGGTAACAAGGGCATAGGGTGAAAGAAACTCTGCCCATTGTTTCTCGCCGGCGCCCGGGATTGAATCCAGGATCACAAGTCCAGCGTGCTGTCCGCTCGGCCGACCGTTCACTGGGGACAAATTCCAATTACTGTTGTTGACCAGACCACACACTAGAAATTGAAGGGACGACGACGTTTCGGTCCGTCCTGGACCATTCTCAAGTCGATTCTCAATCGACTTGAGAATGGTCCAGGACGGACCGAAACGTCGTCGTCCCTTCAATTTCTAGTGTGTGGTCTGGTCAACATACTTCAGCCACGTTATTGTGACTCATCGCCTCCAATTACTGTTCTTTGCTTCGGTACAGGAAAAATTGAAACCTAAAGTACAGTATGGGATGCAAGATAGACATCCTCAGAATTGTGCATGCAATTAACAACCTTTGAATAATAATGCCAGAAGGTCTAACTTTTAGAGATTACAATGAAGCAAACACTGCAACAGCCAGAAGAATTGATAGTCTGAATAATAACCCTCAAAACAAGGATTGCCATGCCCAACCACTTGGGTTGGACAGTAGAGTGACGGTTTCGCTCCATGCAGATCGGCGTTCAATCCCCGACCGTCCAAGTCACTTGGCATCTGTCCTTCCTCCTGTCCCATTCCAAGTGCTATATAGTCATAATGTTTGGCACTTTATTTTTTTTAACTGCATATCACCAAAGTTGGTACTCTTCAAAACACTGATGCTATCTTGTATGGAATGTTCAGTTCTCGCTGTCAGGGTGCCTGACAGCTGAGTGGACAGCGCTTCGGATTCGTAGTCCTGAGGTTCCAGGATCGATCCCCGGTGGAGGCGGAGACAAATGGGCAAAATGTTTTTTTTCACCCTGATGCCCCTGTTCACCTAGCAGTAAATAGGTACCCGAGTTAAACAGCTGCTACGGGCTGTTTCCTGGATGGTGTGTAACAAAAAGGAGGCCTGGTCGAGGACCGGGCCGCGGGGATGCTTAAGCCCCGAAATCATCTCAAGATAACCTCGCATCCTTTTTAAAGGCAATTGAGATTGCAGAGTTGGAAGATGTGTAGAGAAACTACTGCAATCAGTCACACATTTAAACTTCTGGGACAAACTCAGAGCACTTGCTCTACTTTTTTTATTAAATTTCTTGTAATAAAGATTTGAAAGATATTGTAATATACATGTGCAAGATACTAGGATAGCATCCAAATCTACACAATAAAATTACAACATACTGTATTGCAGTGAGAGAATCAATAATCCATCTCAAATTGCCTTTTAACTGATCCATCAAAAATGGATCTAAATTTTACAAACCACCGCTAATGTTCAAATTACATGATTTTGTAATCTGTATTAAAACAGATTCAATAATGTTCCTATTGAAAGGGTTTTACAATTTGTTAATGAAGAAGCTGCAGTGAGAGAAATGGTAGAAAGTTTGAAATAAACCCAATCAAAAGTTTGTGTATTATAGGTACAATTAGAGAATATAACACAAACATCAGAAACCCATGACTTGTCAGTCTCCTGCCAGAAATATAATAAATGTCACTGGATATTGATTGAAAGCTTTCAAGAGAAGGGACATGTTTCTACTTGTGACCAGTTCATTTTTTTTTGGCAGGGGGGGGGGGGGCTGCGAAGCCTCGATCACCTTGAGGGTTTTTATTGGCTGCAAGGCCTCGATCACCTTGAGGGGTTTCTCAGGCTGCGATGCCTCAATCATCTTGAGGAATCCCTTGGCTGCGATGCCTCGATCACCTTGAGGAATCCCACGGTCCGTGATGCCTCCATCACCTTGAGGAATCCCATGGTCTGCGATGCCTCGATCGCCTTGAGGAATCCCTCGGTTTGCAATGCCTCGATCACCTTAAGGAATCCCTCGGCCTGCGATGCCTCGATCACCTTGAGGAATCCCTCGGTTCGCAATGCCTCGATCACCTTGAGGAATCCCTCGGCCTGCGATGCCTCGACACCTTGAGGAATCCCTCGGTCCGCAATGCCTCGACACCTTGAGGAATCCCTCGGTCCGCAATGCCTCGATCACCTAGAGGAATCCCTCGGTCCACAATGCCTCGATCACCTTGAGGAATCCCTCGGTCCGCAATGCCTCAATCACCTTGAGGAATCCCTCGGTCCGCAATTCCTCCATCACCTTGAGGAATCCCTCGGTCCGCGATGCCTCCATCACCTTGAGGAATCCCTCGGTCCGCAATGCCTCGACACCTTGAGGAATCCCTCGGTCCGCAATGCCTCGATCACCTTGCGGAATCCCTCGGTTCACGATGCCTCGATCACCTTGCGGAATCCCTCGGTCCGCAATGCCTCGATCACCTTGCAGAATCCCTCGGCCCGCGATGCCTCGATCACCTTGAGGAATCCCTCGGCCCGCGATGCCTCGATCACCTTGAGGAATCCCTCGGCCCGCGATGCCTCGATCACCTTGAGGAATCCCTCGGTCCGCAATGCCTCGATCACCTTGAGGAATCCCTCGGTCCGCGATGCCTCGATCACCTTGAGGAATCCCTCGGCCCGCGATGCCTCGATCACCTTGAGGAATCCCTCGGCCCGCGATGCCTCGATCACCTTGAGGAATCCCTCGGCCCGCGATGCCTCGATCACCTTGAGGAATCCCTCGGCCCGCGATGCCTCGATCACCTTGAGGAATCCCTCGGCCCGTGATGCCTCGATCACCTTGAGGAATCCCTTGGCTTGCGATGCCTCGTTTAATTGCATTGCTCGGCTAAGATAGGTGATGCCCATAAAACATGTAGGGACCAGATGACAGGTGTTCCAGAAAGGAAAACTTTGATACTAAAAATTTGACAATAGAAGCCATACAAGTATACTTGCCTGATCATGAATGCCTCGGTAATATTTTACTTCCCAGTGCAGGATTATCAAAATTTTTTGATTTTCATAAATGGACTGAAATCCATTTCAGTCCAATGGAGACTGGCCACAGCTTTTAATTTTAATAATGGTTTTTAATTATAATTTTTGTTATAAATACTGTACTGTACTCTACAAGATTTGTCATTAATTTATATTTTTTCATATTTCGGTTGTTGTATTTTATTTTATGAATTAGTGCCAATTTCCTCAGTTATAGTAAATTGATATTTTAATCATTTAATCTTATAAATGACTGCTGAAGTTCATAGTGTAATTTACATGAATTTACCCGAGGGCCACTAATGCTAGTGGCCTTGACGAGGATAGGAAGCCGATGGCTTGTCAGGTTCCCCCCTCCCCCTATTTGCCTTGATCTTTTCCAGTAGGATTTAAAAATTTAACCGGTTTGGCATTAATGGCTTTGGCGGGTAGACGGTGCCATGAGTTTATAACCCTGTGGGTGAAAAAGAATCTCCTTATGCAGACGAGGAGTCACAATAACGTGGCTGAAATATGTTGACCAAACCACACACTAGAAAGTGAAGGGACGACGACATTTCGGTCCGTCCTGGACCCTTCTCAAGTCGATTGTGAATAAAGTCAATTCACAATCGACTTGAGAATGGTCCAGGATGGACCGAAACGTCGTCGTCCCTTCACTTTCTAGTGTGTGGTTTGGTCAACAAGCATCTGTTCTCAGTGTTACAATGTATGTTGTTGAGCTTGAAACCATTGCTCCTTGTTTGTTACATCTGACCTTTTGAAGAAATTGCTTGGATCCACATCCTCCAACTTGGTCAATATTCTAAAAGCTTCAATGAGATCTGTCCTTTCGTGCCTGGTTTGTAGTGTTGTTAGTCCTGTGGTTCTCAACTGTTCCCGATATGCAAGTAGATTTGGCTCTGGAATGATTTTTATTTTCTGGAGCTACACTTTATTTAGAGCAGCTATGTCCTTCTAAAGATGGTCTCCATGGTTGGATATAGTAATCCTTGCACCAGACTGACATATTGCACCAGTATACTGATGCCAGTTACTGATATACCAGTGACTGCACCAGAGATTTATACAATTGAATCACTGCCTTATTTTTCCTTAGTCAAAGGTACGCTTTATTTTTTTAGGGGTTGGTTAGCATTTTTGACTGTTGCTCTGACCTGTTGTGCAACTTTCAGCGAGTGGTAGATTTTGTCCCCAAGGTCCTTTCCTTCAAAAATCCTCTGCAATGTAATGTTATTAATTTGGTCGTTGTAGAGTGGGTTGCTATGCCCTACATGCAGGGTCATTTGCCAGTCTTCTGACCATTTGTCATTCTTGTAGATCTCTTTGTAAGGCATCAATATTATCATTTCCTAATTTACCCAAAAATCTTCGTCATCTGCAAATTTGAGGTTTGAAATACAGTGGTACCTCGTAACACGA